ATGGATATCAAAAATCCTGAATGGTTTTGTGCAAATATAAATCTAAGGTGCCATAACGGCAAGTAAATGAATGAATGTTTGGAAACGAGCAATATGTATTAAATTTTTGGTAAAGTCTTTGTCATCAAGCAAGTGTTTTAAAAACCCACGGTAGGTGACGTTAAATCAGTATAATCGCATATCAATTGAAGACAATAATATAAACATGAATAAATAATCAACAATAGTAAAAAAGACATTTATTCAAAAATCGAACATTCTTTTAAATTTTGACTGAATTATATACTAAGTGACATATAAATCCGAACACCCAGTTTAAATGGTTTTATTTTAATAAAATTTTGTTTAAGTACTTAATGAAGCATAATAAGTAAATGATAAACATTTCAAAATGATTGCACTGCTTTAAAGTCCTTTGACCTCTAATAATGTGTGGATGCACCCTGATGTGCTACGCATTCTCCAACGCGCCTAGACATGCTTCTGATCAGGTGGTCAATGTCCTCCTGAGGTATCTCATTCCAGGCAACCACCAACTCCTCTCGAAGTGCTTCTAGAGTCTGAAGAGGGCGTTGCAAATTGAGCAATCTCCTACCCATCATATCCCACACGTGCTCAATTGGGGATAAGTCGGGAGATCTTGGTGGCCATGGTAACAATGTGACATCATTATGTTGAAAGAAGTCTATTGTGACTCTTGCAACATGTGGTCGGGCATTATCTTGTTGGAAAGTTGGATCTGCCAGGGTGTCAAGATAGGGTAAAAGAAGGGGTTCTAGAACTTCGTGGATATAACGCTGCGCGTTCATGTTACCTCTGATGAAGATTAAAGGTGACCTGGAACCATAAGCTATAGCACCCCAAACCATAACTCCAACAGTATGATGAACATGTCTTTCAACAAAAAACTGTGGATTCCTCCTTTCACCACGTCGCCTTCTAACCCTGGCAAAGACTCGTCACTAAAGACAATACTGTTCCATTCCTGATCCCAGAGTGACCGTTGTCTGCACCACTCAGGGGCGATTACGTCGGGGTTCTCGAGTTAAAGGGAGGACCCAGTGTGGCCGGTATGAAAACAAGCCAAAACTTCTCATTCGTCGGTAAACACTTCGCATGCCAATAGGTCTTCCGTGTTCTGCAAACCATTCATTTGCAATGGACCTGGTAGTGGAGAAACGGTCCCTTAAGGCCAATAATCTTATGCGGCGATCTTCACGGTCTGTTGTTCTACGGCGGCGTCCAGTGCCCCTTGCCCTTTGCGTACGGCCTTCTCGAAGCCATGCCTGACAACACCTAACCACAGTGTCTACACTTCTTTGCACTCTAACTGCAATTGCCCGAAAAGAAGGTCCAGCTTCCCGAAGTCGCACTATACGGCCCCTATCAAACTCACTAAGTTGACGAAATCGTACAGGTCTCCGTACTCTAGGCATCGTAACCGATCGTAAAGGATGTCAAGAACCAAAATCCGTCAACGTTGATTCTTTACTGCGGCTGAAATATTCATTTTTAGAGCGTTAGTGAATTAAAAAAAGCAGTATAAAAACCGGAATGTCCAACTGATAAGGCTGAACATTTTTTCACTTGTTATTTACAGTAAGTTAAATACATTCACCAACTTTTATTAAAATAAAACCATTTAAACTGGGTGTTCGGATTTATATGTCACTTAGTATATGTAATTTCTTAATATTTAATAAGCTGGTGATGTTTCAATAACCACAGTCATCTCATATTTCATAGCTATTGGTTGCTAAAATTTGTTGATTGCATCTTGAAGCTCATTGGCTATATTTGACGGACTGTGGAGAATAACGGCCTGTTAATTTGACAATCCCGGTGAAATTCACCCTTGGAGTCACTTTTAGCCGTAATCCACCTGAGGCAAAATAAATTATCGTTTACTATCATTTTCTCGTCGACCTGAACTCCAAGTACCGGCCCTGTCGTGCACAGCCTGATTGCAAAGCTTTCTGCACATTATTTGGCTCTCTTTTGTGTTAGACTTCCCATCTGTACCACTGCCGCGTATCAAAGAGAATTCGTTGGCGGAACGCAGTGTGTGACTGTTATTGCTGGAACGCTGGAACGGCGACCTAGTTGGAAACGACCGTCGCCGTTGCTTGTCGACTCGTTTCGCGAATGAAAATTTCAAACCGCGCCATTTGCCAACCTGCAACGAGGTATGAGCATAATGACCGCTTCATAATGCGGTAGTTCTGCCAAACGGCACTCGACGGCACCGAAATTAGCTTTGCTGAGGATAAAACTGCGTATCACGAGTGCAGTTGTGGTTTAGGATTGGGGAAATGTCTGGCGGTTGGCACCTTTTATGGTTTTCTTGACAGTAGAGGTGCGGGAGAGGAAAAAATGTATACGGCTAAAATTATTAGCGCATTAAATGCATGCAGTATGGTTTCCGGCACCAGCGATCCAATGGAGGAAAAACTAGGCTAAGAACTATTTTTCTCCAAATGAGACCTAGCCTCGAGTATTGCTCACATGCTTGGGGTGCTGCCACCCCGTCTACGTTATCCATGCTCGATTCTGTCGAGAGGAGGGCTCCTCCATGTTGGCGCCGCACTATGTGCCTTCCAGACAGACTTCCCAACCCTGTCACTTTGTCACTAGCACGAATAGATTGTGGAACAATCCACAAGACGAGGCTAAAATATTATCTACCTTTTCCGCAGTTCAATCACCATATTTTTGAAATTACGGATCAAATAATTTGTCGCTGGTCTTGAATTTGTTCCTGGAGTACAACTTGATATGCACACTGGGGCATCAGATAATTTTCAAGAGTGAAACCAGTTTCAGCCATTTGTATTCATATACACCTTTGACAAACTACATCAGTGATACAAAATTCTAAATATTGACTATGCAATGATTCGGAAAAAGAAAAATGATAAAGACGAGACTGTAAACATTAGCTGTAATTACATTATGTCAACGCAAGAAGCCTGTGAGTACTTGAAAAACAGGATAAATTGTTACAACGGGAGTTGTTAGAAAAATAAAGATTTAGAAACTTGTCAAGCATTGCTTTTGGAATATACCACCTCTCAAGCAGAAACCGCAGAATCTAAGAACAGTGTGTACTTATTTCATTAAATATCATCGATAAGGACTGGATAGTAACACCACTTGGAAAACTCCTTAGGCGAATTGAAGCATTAGAAAGAATTTCCGAAAAATTCCACATATACCCAAGCAGCTATGAATTCACCAACAAAGAGTAAAGAAAGAACGCTCAAGAGCCTTATCGTTACCTTCGAACAGGAACAGTCCTACTACAGAACTAAGAATGAGCTCAGAAGGAATTTGAATTATCATAAATATACATTAAAACTAAAACTGTTGAGAAGTCTAAAATTGGTGGTATAGATTTATAGGTAGAAGACCGCTATCATCAAAAGCTGAACGAAGAAATTGGGAAGAATCTACCATCAACATATATGTACGTTCTCCGAACCTAAAATGTTTAATACTAAAATTGTTGGCTACGAGTCTGAAGGAAAACTTCAAGAAAGTGAAATAGAAAAAAAAAACTTGCAACGAAACTGCGAAATTGTTGACATGAAAAATCAATATCAAAATATAATATAATATATATATATATATACAGTGTCCGTGTAGATGGACCCTTCTGCCATCTGTCAAAGGTTCATCTTACTTATGATTCCATTCCCACCATGTTGTGCTATCATCAGGTGTTTCACGATGTAATTTTTAACTTTTGTTTTAAATAATTTTAATCCGTTTTAATTTGTTCTTGACATACAGCTGTGTGTAGTTTGTATCAATGTTGACGTTTTTACCATATATCCAGGTTTCACCAGGTTACTGGGTGTTTCCCTCAACCTAAACATGAATAACATTTAGCAGCATCCTCACATACTACTGTAAGTTAACTTAACATTCATTTTGCACAATTGTTGCTATTCTTCTCAATGTTATTACAACTCCTGATGATGAAGGCAAAGACCATTGAAAACTAGAGAGATTAATAAAGTATAAAGAATCCTCTTTGCTTAAATTTTTTCGAAGTACCCAACGAAAGACGGAAGCTTTAATTGTTCACCTATCTGGTCTAGACGACAATGACCACGTCTCAAGTTACAATATATATATATATATATATATAATCAAATTATATGGTATTTACGTTGTTCAGTCATTGATTATTCTTGTTTTAACAAACCCAAGCACAAGTGCATGTTGCTTAGGATTTACCTGTATTTTGTTGCGATAAACATTTTAAATGATTTAGAAATGAAAGCTTTGCATTCCGATTTTTCTGTAAAATGTCATTTTTGAAGATGTACAAAGAAGGGTTCAAAAGTCACTGGACTAGGGCTACGCAAGAGTAAGAGCAAGACTTACTTGCAACTTAACAGAAGTCTTGGTCTTGGTCTGTCAGTGCGGCCATTGGTGTGAAATATGTAATAATAGTTGCGTAGAATCACAGCCGAAAATTGAGATGTACCCTTCCCCACACCCTACAACTCCTAACCCCCAATTTTAGACTCCTACAAAAAATTTCTGAAAATGATCGGGAGCCTCTAAGATATCACAAAACGAGGTTTTCATTTTTTGTATGTAGCTTGGCCTCCATTGGATCGCTTTTCAAAAACTATTAAGCCCTTTTGTCCTTCATATAATATTAACCTTGTTTTAAAATTTATTCAAAATCCAAGCGGTACTTCTCAAGTTATAGACGACCAATGATTACCGGACAGACGTGATACATTCACATGATTATTCCAGTTGCGCGGGGCTAAAGGTTCCACTGTGGAAAAGTATCTTAAAATCACATTTTTCAATATGGTGCTTTGTGTATAAAGCAGCGAAGTTATAATTCATCAAGATCTATAAAAACATCAAACCTTCAACTCAACTCCTTTTTGACATCGAAATGATTGGACTCCTCAATTTAAATCACTTCCAATTGATGATCAATTGTTAAAACCTCCTTTTATTTTTCCTTACAGCACAGCGACGGTGAAAAAAGCGACCAAGACCTGGTAGTCGACGACGCGTCAGAAGACCCCGCCTCTCCGCCAAACGGCACCGCCTCCCCGCGCGAGAACGGCCTTGATGGAGGTGGAGGGGGCAAACTGCCGAAGAAGGAACATCCCGGACCCGCCCACAGTCCCCGATCAGGCACGTCGAGCAACGCCTCGACGCCGTCAGCGAAGAAACTGGACGGAGAGAAACCGAGCACGCCCATTTCGAAACCGGTCACGCCCACTTCAGGGGCGAGTGGCGCGAGTGGACCGCCTCCCGGGGGGTTGAAACCTGTCGTCAAGCCACCCGCGTTGGGGCAGTATCCGCCTTATCTGGCTATGTCTAATGGTAAGGAATATAAGGAGATGTTTTTATAGAATCATGGAATCATTTTGTACGCAGACTTCCACAGTGGAACCTTTAAGAATTGAATGAAGGAAAAATGTATTGGATCCTGCTGGACACTTGCGCATATTTAAAGTACGCTTTGACTGCGTGACATATTATTAAAAATTTTACTTGATTGGGAGGAAAACATACCCCTAAAGCGTAATAATTATATTATTTTAAGGTGCTGGACCACATGATTTGCAAGCCGCCGCAGCAGCTGGCAACTATGGAGGACTACACAACAACCTTCCACCAGCGCTAAACAATTACCCTAGGCCTCCATTGCAAGTTGGATATGATCCACATTCGCAAATGAGGGCTCCCGTAGTACCTGGTTTGGGAGGCATTCCTGGAGGAAAACCGTAAGTACTTTGATTTTTTTCAGTGGTGTTCCTTTCTTTTTCTTCTTCTTTTTTTAATAATAATAATAATCTATTGTCATGCCGTAAACATAGGCAACATCAAAATGAGTAGAAAATAAAACACTCAAATGGCACATTCTCACATTTAAAAACATCATAGTCATACGTACACTCAAAATAAGCTTTCAAATTTTTTTTGAAGCCATATATATTTGTGCATTCTTTTATATGTGCTGCTGACAAAGCGTTAAGAAAGTTTACTCCGTTTTAGTATTGGCTTTGCTCATACTACCTGATTGTTACAGTTTCTTAAGATCATATTATTGTATGTATTTTTCCTGTATTTATCGATTATTAGTTTAGTATCAATATATATACTCAATATACATGTATGGTACTGTGAACATTTTCAACCTTTTCAAGTACTTTCAGCAAGGGGTCATCTGAGGTAATTTCAACGCTTGCTCATAGAATTCGTTTCTGGCATATAAAAACCTCCACAGATTTCGAAGAGTGGAACTGAAATACTATGCTGTATCGGGGGACAGATTGCATATAAACAAAAAAAAACAATTTTTAAAGCTTCAGTACTAACTTGATCTCTAATACTGTATATTAAGGAACAGCAGAGTTCATTTTCGATAATACTGCTGTTATTTGTTCTGTCCAATTCAATGAATGGTCTATTTTCACATCTAGAAGCGGTGCAGTGTCCGTTTGAACTATGGTGTTTCCCGTTTAATGCCACATAAAGTGACTTGGTAGTGCCGTTATTGAAGAATACGATGTTATATGTACATATAAGCTTAGTTGATTTTTGAGTCAACTGCTCTATGTTTTTGTCAGCCACTATGCCCGATATATGATCATCAGTTAATTGAGGAAGGTGTACAATAAATGCCGAAACGTTGGCCATTTTGATTAAAGAGTCACAGATGCATCTCTTCACTGGGTTGGTATTCGGGCGAGAGGAAACGAAAATGCGAGATTATCTTTCTGCGCACGCGTAGTGCGTATGGCGCCGCTTGGCTGGTTGTACAGGGAGGTGCGAATGTGCTTGTACAGGGTGATGCGAGTCGTTGTTGTGGGATATACAACAAATCGTATTTTTAATCATGCGTCTTATATTTCACAAGGTTCCCTAAAACTAAAAATGTCCTGGGAATAATAATAATGTTTATTAGTCTAACTACAAAGTTTTCATATAAGTAATAACGGTAGTGTCCCATAATCATAATCATAAAAAAGTGCACGCTTGTGCTTGGGCTTTAACCGAAATTGAATTCTACGAGTATGAATGCAACAATTTCCTATAAGTATACTAGTCAAATGTATGTATGTATTTGTCAGTCTGTTATCAAATAAACATATTGATTTTTAATGTCTGCAAGCTTATGGTTTTGTATCTTTGGTTGATTTAGGATCCATCACTTTAATTCAATTTTTAAACGTTTTTTACATTTTATATATTTAAAGTTTGCAGAAAGAACATTATAAAAGTTTGAGCATAGAAAGTAGAATGATCTTTAGTTGATGGGGATGGGGATATGTGCAGATGTTCCTTGAATCGCGTTTTATGGTTATGGCTGATAGAATGTAGCAATTTTGAATTTTTTGTTAAATATATTATTGTACGATAAAAATACATTTACCGGCAGTCGAAAAGATGAGGATCACTGTTAACATTTGCGTTGGGATAACATTTCTCATAACAATTGCTCATGACCCCCCATGCCAAGATTCCTTAGGATTAATAACGATTGAACAAGGGCATGATATATCATGTGAAGAGAAAAACACTAGGTATCTTAATTTGCGTATTAAATTGTCAACGTGTTAATTTCATCTTAGATAGTTATCTATGAATAACCCTGAATATTTGAAATAATAACTGATCGTATATTTTTTCAGCTATTCAACGTTTTAATTTGGAATTAACTAAAATTTTGGGAAGATCTGTGGTCGCAAGAAAATGTAATAAAATATGTTTTGCTGAAGTTGACTATTAAATTGACTATTAAAATCCGTGAAAAAATATTTAACATTATTAAAATCCAATACAATTTTTTTTGTAAAGAAGCCCAATCTTTGTCTGAATAAATAATTGCCATATCGCTTGCGAAGTCGTAACTTTTCCATCGTTTCTTAACTTAAAAACGTCATTAATATACAAATTAAACAGCAGTGGCCCTAATACGGTTCCTTGTGGATCCGCATCTTCTGAATTTTTTGATATAACATACTAAGTATGTAATATTTTCAGAAATACAAGAAATCTGATCATTTGGCCTTCTTTTAAGAGTGAAATATACGGGTGCTTTAATTGACACGTCATTAATTCTCATGACATAAATAATTTAATCGGTTTTTTATTTTTCTAGAGCCTACTCATTCCACGTGAGTGCCGACGGGCAAATGCAACCGGTACCATTTCCACCAGACGCGTTGGTCGGTCCAGGAATCCCGAGGCATGCCAGGCAGATAAACACTCTCAGTCATGGTGAAGTGGTGTGCGCGGTGACGATTTCCAACCCGACGAAATATGTTTATACGGGCGGCAAAGGCTGTGTGAAAGTGTGGGACATCAGTCAACCGGGCAGCAAGAGTCCTGTGTCACAGTTAGATTGTTTGGTAAGGTTTTTTTCATCGCATCATCCCATAAAGTCTCAATTTGCAATAATGTTTTTGATTCACAAATTTTACGTACCAATTTATCTTCAAGTCAGTTGAACTAAAGGAAAGTATTTGAAGAGAGGAAACATGTTTTAATAGCAAGAAATTTTAATAAATCACTGCTTTTCTTTTTATAACAAACAACCTAGCAAGACCTAGCCAGTCAAGCTACAGCACCAGCTGCAAACCAACTTTCCTGTTCCTTGTTCTTTCAAGCTGCTTGATGCTCCATCTGGCGGCGGGCATTTGGACGATATTATACGCAGAACTCGATTTTCCAGTATTTGGCAAGTGCTAAAATCACGTAACCTTTTTTTTGCTATTTTGATCACTTACTAGTAATTTTAATTCCTCTTTATTAACGGTAGAGTGTCCATTCCTAGGCCAAACCCTTTACAATGATTTTCTTTTGGTAAATTTCATAGTTTATTGATTGTATAATTTCACGCGTATTATATCATTCTTTCTCAGTGATTCAGTATTGTGTTGAAAAAAAAACTCTGTGGTTTTTCTCCGTTCTTATTGAACATATCTTCTTTAAGGTCACTCATTGAGCCTTCCTTTCCTTTATAAAGTTAGGTATTTCCTGTCAGTCACTTTCCTCCTGTGATTGTTTAACCTCCAGATTCTGGGATATTACGTGCCGAAAACCAGTTTGTGGAGTAGTACCGCTTCGTACCTTACGTTCAGTTGTTTTGGTTTGGGTGCTACCCCGTCCATTTTCTTATGGGATTATAATCTTCAGCGAGAGAATGCATTGCGAAGAACCACAACACTGTCCTCCAGCTTTGTTTTACAGCTGATATTGCCAGAAGCCTTATGTGAACAGGGTTTTTTTTGTCAAGGGGAAGGGGTGGCTTCTGGATCCTATACTAAACTTTTCTATAATAGCAGAGCTTGAGGCTTAGGGAATCTAGTTGTCCATTATGTAGGCTCCTCGCGGTGACCAGTATGCCTCCAATTTCTTTATTCGTTCATTATTTGGTATTATTATAAGATTTTATTATATTTTCAGCAACGTGATAATTACATCCGTTCTGTGAAACTACTGCCGGACGGTAGAACGTTAATAGTAGGCGGCGAAGCGAGCAACCTGTCAATCTGGGATCTGGCGAGTCCAACACCCAGGATCAAAGCCGAATTGACGTCGAGTGCACCAGCCTGTTATGCGTTAGCCATCAGTCCTGATTCAAAGGTAATATCAATAATCACTAAAGTCCTGTTTGAACAGCAGTCGCCAACCTGTCATTGACCGTTTCCAAGATCCTGCCTGATAAATTCCGTTCACTCTGCTTCGCTGTATAGACGGAATTCACACGATCGGATCCCAGACACAGTCCCCGACATGTCAAAAAATAAATTATGTATTTTAGCACTCCTAGATTTCTCTAAAGCTTTTGACAGAATAAGCCATCAAGTATTATTATCTTTGTTGTGTTACTTCAACTTTTTCCAAGATGCTATATATATATATATATATATATATATATATATATATATAACTTGAGACGTGGTCATTGTCGTCTAGACCAGTTAGGTGAAAAATTAAAGCTTCCTCTTTATACTTTTATTATTCTCTCTAGCTTTCAATGGCCTTTGCCATCATCATCAGGAGCTGCAATTACATTGATAACAGTAGCAACAATAGTCTAAAATGAATTTAAATTAACTTAACTTACAGTAGTATGTGAGGATGTTGCTAATTGTTGTTTACGTTCACGATGAGGGAACCACCCAGTAACATGGTGAAAGCTGGATAAATGGTACAATGGTCAAAATTATATAAAATACACACAACTGTGTGACAAGAACAAGTTAAAAACAGATTAAAAATTTTTAGAACATGAAAGCATTACATCGTGAAGCCACATCCTGAACGTAAACAACAATTAGCAACATCCTCACATACTACTGTAAGTTAAGTTAATTTAAATTCATTTTACACTATTGTTGCTACTGTTATCAATGTAATTGCAGCTCTTGACGATGATGGCAAAGTCCATTGAAAGCTAGAGAGAATAAAAAAAGTATAAAGAGTCCTCTTTGCTTAAAATTTTTGTCGAAGTACCCAACAAAAAGCGGAGCTATATATATGCGATTCATAGTTCTTGTCGATAATATCTAGCTAAGTGAAAGACGTGTCTTTGGAGATATCGACAAATTATGCTAAGTTTACCCTTTTGACTTACAAATACTCAAGCTTTCGACAAGCTATGCTGCCATCATCAGGAGTCCGTCAATGAGATTGGTACTAGTGGTTGATGTTTTAGAATGTAATTTGGGCACACATGGCAAGGTGATCAAAAACTGGCTTTACGCGGATCTTTTTTTGAAAACGTTCGTGAACATAATTATGTTTAAGTGATAAAATACAGACGGATTGAGACGAAAATTATTGATTGAATAGGATTTTTAAAAACTCCTCAAATTGAAATCTTGGATTTAGAAAATCCTAACCTCTCGACCATACTAATAATTCTAGGTTAGTCCAAGAAGTGAGTTTGAGAAGTTTTTAAAAATTTTATTCGGTCAATAATGTTCATCCCAATCCGTCTGCATTTTATCACTAAAACATAATTATGTTCTCTATCGTTTTCAAAAAATGATCCACGTAAATCAAGTTTTTGGTCATCTTGCCATGGGTTCCCAATTACATTTTAAAACATCAAACACTCGCACCAATCTCATTGACGGACTCCTGATGATGGCAACATAGTCTGTCGAAAGCATAGTATTTCTAAGTCAAAAGGGTACACTTAGCACAATTTGTCGATATCCCAAACTTATATATACAGGGTAGGGTGACTTCGAAGTTGAGTCATTTATTTTAACAGTGAATAGATCTGATCAAAAGAAATGTTTTTTTCCTTTACCATTTTTCTGGTAAAATTAAAGTAACAAAGTTATAGCCCTTTGGAAGTTTGAGTACCGCCCTGTCTCAATAATAATATCATGTACTCGTGTTTGGCAACAACGGATATAATCCGCCTTATCGGTTCATCGCATCGGAAACAAAAAATCGAAAGAATTTGGAACGATGTTTTTACAATTATTTTATTCAGTTGTATACATACAGTCAGAGTCAGTCGGTAACGCGTGTGAATAGTGGTGTCTGTTGCGTGGCTCAAACGAAATAAAAAATAGCACATGTTTATGCGGATCGGTTTCCCAATCGAGTGCAACCAACCCCTCGTGCCTTTGTTAATGTAGTACAATGGGCTCGTGAATCAGGTGACTTAAGACCTCACAGGGGACCTCACGATCAAATACAGGTCCGCACTGAAAGACTTGTCGGGAGGATACTTTATAAAACAAGGTAAACATTTTTTTTTTATTTTTTTTTATTTTTACATACATATTTTGGTTTATCTTCCTTCTACAATCATTATCTGAAAATTAATGACTCAACTTCAAAGTCACCCTGTATATCCATAAAGTTCTTTGGATAGAAGGCAAAGTATATATATATTATAACTTAAACTCGAGCTTTCGAAGATCTATGTCTTCATCGTCTGGAGCTGGAAACAATTATTGACAACAGCAACAAATAACAATTAGGAGGAAAAATAGTTACTTACTAAGTCGGCAAGATTGTTGCTGAAATTGTTTTTAAACAACAGTGAAGGAAACACTTAGTCGACGAATAAAAAACTGGACTGATGAGTACGCCACTGTAGAATGTCAGTCGGCCGGCACGTGTTGGATAATGTGGAGGTTATCAGTGGAAAAAAAGATGAAATCTCGAAGGAATTTTCAATAGTTGATAGATTTAAAATTTCCAAATTTCTTCCAAAATCTATCAACGTTTAAGTGAAAAAACCTTTCAAAATTATTTGCCATTTAATAATAAAATAAATCCGTCCTAATCCAATCTCATCAGTCCACTTTTTCATTCGTCGACTATGTGTTCCCTTCACTGGTGTTTAAAAACAATTTCAGCAACAATCTCTAATTGTTATTTGTTGCTATTGTCAATAATTGTTTCCAGCTCCAGACGATGAAGACATAGATCTTCGAAAGCTCGAGTTTAAGTTATAAGAGTGTACTTTTACAATACTTTGCCTTCTACCCAAAGAAATTCAACGATATTTTCTCCTAACAGTTAAGACAATTAACTATGAATATATATATATATTCTTCTTGCAAATTATGTTTTACAAACTTTTTAAGGAAAATATGTGTTCTAGTTTCAGCAGAATGAACTGCGCAATGAACAAGATATACTATATCGATAATTGTTGGAACTGTTAAAGAGGAGACAATTTGGCTGTGGTATCATTTTGCACTGGACCTTGTATGCAAAATTTACAGAAATAACAAAGGTTAAGGTTTAAGAAGACTGCCTACCAACATTGATTTGTATTAAATTGCAAACCAAACCAGTCAAATTACCTTCTGACAGTTGAATTTGGACATATTGTCATTCTCCCTCTGGAGATCCGAAAACGAGTGCAAGAAATAAAAAAGCTTTACTACTTTGTTTTCTTGAGCTCAGATATAGCCAGAACTGAAATTGTCAGATAATTGAAAACGAAAATGTTTTTTTCAGGTGTGCTTCAGCTGTTGTTCAGACGGAAACATAGCAGTATGGGATCTACACAATCAGACGCTAGTGAGGCAATTCCAAGGACATACAGATGGTGCATCGTGTATTGACATTTCATCGGAAGGAACAAAACTTTGGACAGGTACGTATTGAGGATTCGATACTGTTTAGCTTTTCGGGCCGTATCGTCAGTCGTTGCTACAATAATTGTTGGACGCCTTTATAGCCTCCTCGATTGTTGTAGACTTGTCTGAATCTTTTTCCAAAACTTGAGAAATTTCTTGGTGAAAAACGTTTGGAAAATGATGACATGTTAAAAGAAACAGTTGGATCTGCTGACAAGTGGTAGTTCTAAGCTAATATTAGTAATAAACTAATATTCATATATAGAAGCGATAAATTCAGATTGCGTTTAAAATAAATGAAGATTTTTTAAGAATAATCCAAAGTAGCATCTCGCCTAATACAACTGGCTGTCTTTCAGGTGGCTTAGACAACACAGTCCGTAGCTGGGACCTTCGCGAAGGCCGACAGCTCCAACAGCACGACTTCAGCTCCCAGATCTTCTCTCTGGGGTACTGCCCAATGGGCGAGTGGCTAGCCGTAGGCATGGAGAACTCGAACGTAGAAGTACTACACGCCAACAAGCCTGACAAGTACCAGTTGCACCTACACGAAAGCTGCGTGCTCAGTTTGAGGTTCGCAGCGTGCGGAAAATGGTTCGTTTCAACGGGCAAGGATAATTTGCTGAATGCGTGGAGGACCCCTTATGGTGCCAGCATATTCCAGGTACGTTTCGTCAACATGAGTTGGGTATCAATTATCTTTCGTTTTCTTATTCATGAACAAAAACAAATCCGGAATTCTCTAGGACCTTCTTTGTGTATAGTTTTCAAGGCTGTGGAGTTCTGATGATTCTTGAGCGTAGCTAAACAAAATTTTTGAGAAATCGGGATTTTTAAGAAATTGACATCTTTCGTCTTAGTGGTTTCGTTTTAGCTCGTTCAGAAATTAAAAAATTTTTGAAGCTTCGCATAAGAGTACTTAACTAATAAACTAACTTATAAAGTTAGTTCGCTATTACAATCTAGTACAGTTCTGGTTTAATTTTTGTTTTTGATTTATTTAGCATTAATGCTACAATGTCAATTTTGTATAATGATTCGGTTACATATTTTCTGTAATTTTACGTTTTCGTCTATTAAAATTAAAATTACGTCACGATGTATTTTGATTATTCATAAATTGATTTTTTTTTAATTTCACCTTAAACATTTTTAAATTCGAACTTTGTTTAATATCATTAAATTTTAAATTCAAATACTCCCTTTCGAAATATAGATTTACTAGTTATGCTACTATTACAATTTTGCAGATGAAAATCTATACTGCCTCTAGTTTCGTAGTTATGATAATGACTATTTAATTTTGTGAACTTCTCTAAATGTGGTGGTAAGAAATGATTTTTTAATTTGATTATGAAAACGAGATCTAAATAATATATGAAATTTTTTACATCCAACCATTACAGTTCTTCAAACATATACTTAATCCTAGTATATTTGTTTTTATTTAAAATGATTTTCATAGCTTTATTTCGTAGAATTTGTAATTTTAAAAATATGTATTCATTTGCTGTAAACAAGATGGTTGAACAATATAAAAAATGGGGAAGAATTATGTTGTGTTATACAATTTTTTTTTGAATACATACTAATTTTATGGGAAACTCTATAGAAGTAATTTATCTGTTTCGATATTTTTGAAATAATGTATTCATAATGTTCGTGAAACAGTAGTTTACTATCCACATATATACCAAGATATTTAAATGACTCGACTACTTCAATTTTTTCATCATTAATCACGAGCCTAATTCTGTCGTCTGTTGTCACCTAAATGTAATGTTTCCCTATTGACATACATTTTGTTTTATTAGTGTTTAATTTAAGTTCATTGACATTTAGCCAATTCATATTTTTTTAATATCACTATTTATCAGTTCTAAAGCAGTGTCCAAATGCTTATGTGCCATATATATAAGTGTATCGTCCGCAAATATTTGAATTTTGCAGTGTTCTGAAATGTCAGAGATAGCATTTATACGTTATAAATAATAACGGCCCTAATTTACTCCCCTGTGGCACCCCTACTGATATATTTTGAACACTTGACATAATATTTCCAACTTTAGTTTTTTGACTCCTATTTACTAAATATTACTGCTGATTATTTTGCTTCTTGTTTGTTCTAAAATAATTTAGTGACGAAAGATCAAGGGAAGTTATTTTTTCCCTATATTTCTTTTATAAACGCTAATGTTTTATGTGTTATATTATAGATGATATCAATCTTATGTCTTTGTGGGTGTTCTGAATTGAAATTAAGAAGCTTTTCAGAGAAAGCAGGTTTCTTGTACCAATCAAATTTGCGTTTGTTGGATGAATAGTGAACGAACCTGGAAAAGGAATCTTATTATCTAACTCTACTTCAACGGTAAACTGGACTTATTTGTTATAGCTGTTAAAGACCTTAACAATTTCATTGATTTTGAGACATGGTACTGCAGTAACTATGTAATCTACAATATCTTTTTAAAAAAGAAAAATTCACTTTTTCTCAAAGACTCCTTAATTTCAATTCAGAATACCCACAAAGAGATAAAATGAATATCATAAATAGAATAAAGTGTAGAGAATTATATCTGACTCAGAGTTCCGACAGAAAAATATATCATTTATAAAAGAAATATTAAGAAAAAGCAACTACCTTTCTCCCATCTCTCCTCACATTATTACAGAGCAATAATCAAAATAATAAAAAATAGAAAATTCCGTATATAATTTTTTTTTTTTGAGAAATTGGTGAGTGTTTTAAGTTCAGATACAATCAAGATTGCAGTAAAGTGAAAATACAATCAGAAAAAAAATCTAGTGAACTTAAAGACAAAATTCCAACAAAATCACAATAGAATGTTGTATATATAATCCCATAAATTATACATAGGAAGGAAGGTACTTGAAAACCCGAATATCAGAGCACAAAAGAGACTTTAAGAATTTTTACTTAAACAATAGTCATATACCTGTATTTTGATTCTTGCGAGGTTCTACGTAGGAGTGATAATTATAAAAAAGGACAATAATGCATTTAATAAAAGAACATACATAGCAGATTTAAGTTTTATGTACTATAACATCATTAAAATCATGAAAACAAAGTAACAACCACCTAATGTCTATCAGCATCAAAAAGGTATAACATCAAATGTAGCGAAAAAATAGCTCAGTTTTTTATTGGAAATACCTTTTTCATTCCCAGCACTCTAGGTCTAGCACAATCTTTTATTGTCATATTGATAACTTGCAGTCTTAGGACCGTGTCGTCAGTCGTAGACGCCTTTATGGTCTCCTTGATTTTTATGGTTTTTCCTGTACTTCAGAATGGCAGGAGTACTTCTAGATTTTACTGTTCCGTGCATCACTCTATTTTGAGGTTATGTTTTCCTTTCTGAAGGAGAAAAAAGACTATGAAAATCAAGGATGCCATAAAGGCATCCTACAATTGTAGGAACGACTGACGATACGGCCCTAAAAGATAATACCTAAGATGTGCATAACCTTAAATTATTATTTGACCACCACAGTTTCTAACTGAAGGGGTGAGTTCGTTATGATTTCCGTTTTTCTGATAATACCTATAACACAAAAACACTTTTCATTCGTTTTGAATATCTATCTAAATTACGAATCATTTTATCTTTTTTTTGAGTGTATATGTTGGGAATTGCTATGTTGTTAATGAAATTCGGGAATGTGTTTTAATAACTAAAAGTAAGTAAAAGTATCTTTTACATCAATTTTATTGTTTTGATGATTTTTGTTTATAAGAGATTCAATATACAAAAACTCAACTTTGATAGTTTCCCAGTCTGCCATTTTAAAAGATAATGATTTTATATTCTTAGGGTTATAAAATATTCACAAATATAGCTAACGTGGAAGCTTTATGGAATTGAAAAAAAAACTTAGCATGTAATTGTTCTCCAACAAGACTTATGACGTATTGTTAGTCGTTCCTACAGTTGTAGGACGCCTTTATGGCGTTCTTGATTTTCATAGTCTTTTCTCTCCTTCAAAAAGGCTGGGGCATTCTAGTTTTTACTGTTCCGTGTCAGCGTCGGTGATCCACTATTGTGAGGTTATGTTTTCTTTCTGAATCTTACGAAATTCAGGCTGATAAAACAGATGATAAAAATCAAGTTGTTTTTCATCCTGAAATATCTTTGAATTCAAATAGAAAATATAATCTCAAAATAGAGCGCTTACGCGAAACAGTAGAAATCTAGAAATACCCTTGCTTTCCTGATGGACAAGAAAAACTGAAATTGAAGGAACGACTGACTATACGACCCTTAAGTATGAAGTGACCTCCATATTTTGGAAAAAAATACATAGTGATGTCAAGTGTAGCCTATGTAACATCCGATTCGAGGTAAGAAGAAATTATAGTTTCTTTTTGTTTTTTGCAGTCTAAAGAGTCTTCGAGCGTGCTCAGCTGTGACATCTCAGCAGACGACAAGTACATTGTAACAGGATCAGGAGACAAGAAAGCTACTGTCTATGAAGTGATCTATTAAGAAATGTGACTCTGGCACTACATGTAGTCGACGAGTAACCAAATTGTGATAATTATGTGTAATAGACATTCATTTCTACAAATAGGGTAATTCCAATGGATATGTATAGCTTGTCGAAATATTCCAAAAATGGCTCACAACGTGGAACAGTCAAATGGAATGTATTCGTTATTTCGATCATTGTGCATATTTGTAAGATATCCCAAAACAGATAAATATCGTGTCATTCCTACATTTAAGGTGACGCGTCTCTTTTTTTAGATTTTTTTCAGCTTCCTGTTTGCAGCATTATTCTAAATCCTTATCTGATAATTTCATAGTGTGTATAGAAACGACTACGAGAAAAAACAATGTTTTCATTTTTTTTAAATGCATTTTTGGTGCATTTTATTCTACATTCTTTCTTCAATCGGAACTTGTTAACAAATATAAGTACAGCTTTGAAATTGTGTGTGAATGTTCCTCTTTTATGGAAGAATGAAACGAGTGATTACTTTTGTTTTTATCACTTTTCCTTTTCGAATAATCTTTGATTTTCTTGAAGTCTCGTCTCATAGCAAGTTGAGTATTCTAGAAAAGCAAAGATTTTTCTAAAAGGAAAAGTGATAAAAACAAAAGTAATCACTCGTTTCATTCTTCCATAAAAGAGGAATATTCACACACAATCTTAGAGCTGTACTTATATTTGTTAGCAAGTTCCGATTGCAGAAAAAATGCACGAAAAATGTATTTTTTGAAAAAAAAATTAGAACATTGTTACACACCATGAAATTATCAGATAAGAAGGATTTAGAATAATGCTGCAAACAGGAGGTTGACAAAAACTCTAAAAAAGGGTCGTGTCACCTTAACACTTTCGGTACTGTGCTACTGGGGTTGCAACTTTTGGATATTCAGTTGAATAACTATATGCCCGACGTTGTTAAATATAGGAATACCAATTTTTACGGGGAAATCTGAAATCTAGCGTGGGCCTGTTCCGAGATGTCTCATCGATATGCACAATAATCTGAAGAATAAACTTATTTCATTTGGTATTTTATGCTACAAAGAAATTGAAGCCTGTTGATCTGGGACAAATCATGAATCATTTCCACAATGACGAACCTGACCGCGGAATTGATCGATATTTCACGGTGTTGCCACCTCGAAACTAACAGATATTGTTGCCAACCACACCGACTAAAAAATTAACTTACATTTAAGATGATCCGAATTATTCATCGCTTTTGAAAATTGCAGACTCCGTAAGACTTTACGGTATCATTTTTGTTGGAAACTGCTGCTAATCAACTTTTCAACACAAGGACTTTCTTTTTGAAGTATTTCGATCAGAACGACCCTATGTACATAAAGACTTTGGCACAGAATTAACTATTATACACGCTGAGATTTTAGTGATCTGATGTGAAATATATAAATATAGTTATTTAGGAAGTGATCTCCCATGACAGTTTTTTTATAATTTCAATTTGTATATATTTATGTAATATCTGACTAATTCTATTATTGTTGGTATATACTTTAGAGGTCAACAATGTTCATTCAGTTTTTCTAACTGTAGATATCACTTTCATATCACTAACTGATAACAGCACATCTTCAGTGAGATCGGAAAAAGTTAGGAATGAAATTCATAGTAGATGAAACTATATGCTTCAAATTTTACTCTCACCATTGAGATATCGGAGATTGTAAGAGTTACGAGGCCAATTGAAGGAGGCAATAAAGCGCATTTATTTTACAAAGAAAATGGTACAGAAACTTCCGCAATTCCGAGTATTTCCGGGGATAAACGAAAGAAACTGTTTTTTTTTATTTTTATTGGCGCTGATATGGAATTTCAGAATGAAACGTCCTAAAGAGTATTTCCTTTTTTCTTCTGGCATAATTAGAACTTTATTTTTTCTTGTATACTCCATATTGTATTTTTGCACAGGTGAATAGAATTTTAATTCTAATTCAAAAAGTGTATAATACTTCATACATTGATATTGTCAAACCGACTTGTTTCGAAAAAACTAATATTGTGATAGTTGGCTTTGAAGATGATCGATGAGTTTGTTTTATTCGATTAAGTCAGCACCACCAGTCATATGAAAAATATGAAATTTGTTTTGAAAGCTGCAACACGGTTTAGGCTTCTACTTACTCCCTAATGTTAATAATTATAATGGTAATAAATAAGATAGTACTGTATCGAATGTTTCCAAACTACCCTCAAATAACTTTAAAAAGTTTTAGCATTAGGTTGTTTGATGATTGGCTGATGATATTAGGAAACAATTGACTATCAGATATCAATTTCAAGGCCTACTTAGGAAATTCTGTTTTTTGAAATAACTAAGGTTTGACCATGTGAATGTATGACTTATTGTACATTTTTGGAATCGGGATTAAAAGCTCTTTTTACTTATGCCAGAATTCAGCATGCAGTCTATAAGGAAAACAAGAGACGTCATATTGTAAAAGTTTTTTCATTTTTGAAATCCCATCTCAAATAAAGAAAATAATAAAACCGGTGTTGAGAAACTTCGGTTTCTTTCATCTGATTCCAAAGATACTCTGAATTGCGACTTCGGTGTACGATTTTCTTGCTTACTTAATCGAACTTTGCCCCCAACTTCGTAACCTTTACCATTTCAGAGATCCCAATGGTGACGGTGAATTATGCTGAGGGTGTGAAAGTTATCGGCTAGTAAACAGTTTTTTGTATAATACTGAATCATTTTGTTATTTAATATTTAAATCGAGAGAGCTCGAAATGCGAAAAAATATGTAAACTGGCACACACAACAAAATGTATATTGTCTATATATTTGTAATTTGTAAAGTAATGCTAGTATCGATGATAAAACTTATTTAAATAAACTATCTAAATGTTGCCTACACAAATTTGCTCCAATTTTGCATGTGCAAAACATCTGGTACCTTTGTGTATTGATCAATGTTTTTTCGTTCGTTGGATACATAGATATACTTCAGTTGTTATAGTTACAGTTCTTTGGCAAAAATTTGAGTACTCCGAAAACAACAATCCAGTCAGATCACATTCTAAACAATAATATAGTTATCATTCAGATCGTTACAGTAGGGAATATGCATGTTTTTTTTGTACTTTCTGTCAAATCTTCAAGTTAATATAATACTGTAAACACATTTATTTCATAGAAATGTTTGTTTTATTTTTTTATTAAATATTTAAAAGTGCAATGCCAATGACGTTGATTTAAACGCCTCATATTTCGCGCGTTTCGCGGTGACGTCACAAGTCATGGTTTGTCATTTTATTCTGTTTGATTAATTTTTTGTCAATTTTTTTACGCGCGCTTCGTAGTGACATCAAAACTCATGGTTTGTCATTTCATTCATAAAGATTTTTTATCGAGATCCCGTAGTGAATGGAGCGGTAATAGATGGAATTTCGCTCCTCTCGATGTTTTTCAATCTGAAATAAAAAGACCGATAGTTTTTTGTGCAATGTACAAACATATATATCAATAAAATCAAACGTGACAAGCGCGGTTCCTATATCTACAATGACATTCTCGGTTGTCATTTAAAATCAGGTGAACCTGTTCCTCCATTTATGATTCAATAATTTAACTGAATTTTCGGCTCTGCGAAGACAAATGTTCAATTGAGATGTCCGTTTTTCAAATGACTTGGCTGTCACCTGCTGGTACCTCACCGACGTTAGGCGGTTAACCGTACCACGTGTTTTGCTTACATTTGGATGACGTCACATCCGTCTTCCCCTCTTCCGTTTTTCGCGAAAATTTGAGTATCAGTTCCCCGTGAACTCGCGAAAAAATCCTTTGTTTGGTTAATTTGCTGTCAAGCTTTAAAAATAAACAAGCAGTCTTTTGTTGTTTTTCCGACGTTGTCCTGGGGGCATAATTCTCGTGGCTGGCCCCTTGTAGTTAGATAGCTCTGTGGCGGATTCCGTGTCAACTGGTACTCTTTGGGACTGATCAAACTGGTAGGTTGACAATCAGTGACAGCGACAAAGGCTGCTCACTTGACGATATCGTGTCGAAGACTAGAGATAGCAGTGAATTTCAAGGGCTGCGCATAGGGCATCTCTTTCGTGTGTACACTGCGCAGAAAATGAATTTCAGGTTCTGCGCATGTGGGATCACTCTGTCGCTATCATCATGTCTGTAATCAACTGTAATTTTGACAGTTTGGACAAGTTGCAAGCAGAAATATTGGACATTACTAATAAAACACGAAGTAGTAATCCTGCGCATGGCAAAGCGTGAGTGGAATGCACATAAAAATTTCGGGAGGTTATGTTGACATTTTTCATTGCGAAGATGCCCTACGCCATGTTCTACGCCTACGCCTACTAGATTTCCTAGAGCTACACCAACCTTGGCTTATATTCCTTATGGCCGTATGGTCTGCCGTTCCTGCAATTGTAGGACTCCTTTATGGTCTCCTTGATTTTCATAGTCTTTACTCTCCTTCAAAAAGGCTGGGGTATTTCTAGATTTCTACTGCCCAGTGTCAGCGTCAGCGCTATCCTATTGTGAGGTTATGTTTTCTTTTTGAATCTTTTAATTGAGGCTGATGAAACAGATGATAAAAATCAAGTTTTTTCATTCTGAAATATTTTTAGATTCAAAAAGAAAATATAACCTCAAAATAGAGCGCTTACACGAAACAGTAGACATCTAGAAATACCTTTGCCTTCCTGAAGAACAGGAAAAACTATGAAAATCAAGGAGGCCATAAAGGTGTCCTACCATTGTAGAAACGACTAACGATACGGGCCTTACGCAGTTTAACATCCTATCTCTAGTCTTCGTGCGTTACGCCAATAGCGTTGCGTTTCGATATTTTAAATTTGCCTCGTATGGTTCCCATTTTTTTATTAATTAATACTTGTTATTTTATATCGCGTAAGTATATAATAAGGTTGAAGGTATCTTTCTGTAACAATATAGACTGCGAATCACAATAAATATCTGATATATGAATCACATGCATATTCCCTATTGTCAACTCATGGGGAGAGGACCACCTGAAGATTAGATAGTAGGTAGAACTATGACTGCCGAATCGGTTAAAGAAATCATTGGATTTGCACGTCATAAGCAACACCTTGGCAAGATGTTTCATTTATTGATGGTTTTGATATCGGCGTTTTAAAGTCATAATCAATCCAACTACACTTAGGTCATCGAAGTGCGTCATTTACAGAATTTACACGTCACTAAATCGCTCGCTATTATCCTTTGGTACCGAAAAGGACGAAAGCAGCAAAATACATCGCTTCCTTTCCGGTACCAGAGTATAGGTTACATCATACCCATCAAATGATGACAGAACTAAGTGCTGTGAATATTATGGTTTTCAGTGATCGACTGGTTTAATGAAAAATACTGCTTAAATTAAATGAAATTTGAAAGGCTTTCGCGGCCATCATCCAATATTATTTGGTTGGTTTTTGGTTTGTTAGGCCACTCGTGTTGCAAAAACCAACCAAATAATACTGCTCAAATTGGTTTAGTGCTGCTCATAGATTTTTCAAAATATTGTGCTGTAGCTATAGTAACTTTAGTAGTAATACATACGACAAAATTTTACGTTATAAGTTTGTAGATATTTGGATTGAGATTGTTGTTTTTATTTTCTGGGTTCTATAAGAAATTGATGATTCCTGTTACTCCAACAACCAACATTTCTGGTATGAATGTGTATTTTTTATATCAGTGAATCTGATTCAGTTGTGAGGTGATACCAATTTAACAGATTTTACAGTTTAAGTGATAGATCTATATCAATTCAAATTCATTAAAAATTTACGATAACGGTCAAGCTAGCTGATGAAATAGCAAGTATGGAGGTAGAAATCGAACTGCATCTTGCAGTGAATATGGATCACATAGATTCCAATAGATATCTTAGGGAACTGCCCAAAAAGACGCTATTGGAGTCAACTTTGAAGTAAATACCAATAAACAATGTAGAAGTGGTAAAGAATGTTTACACCAATTCTTGAGTGGTATAGGAAGTATAAACGCTAGGCCTGATATTGAGCTCCACAAAATGCCGTATTTGCTGATATAAAAAAGGGTGATGGTGCAGTCACAATAGTTATTCATTTTTTACAAATCGAGCCCTTTGGGACCTTTCAGAGTGCGTGCTACCATGTATAGAGATAGATAAAGTGATTTGCACGAATATCATTTGCGAAAAAATTAAATCAAGAAATCGATACAGGTCTCATTCCGTAGTGTGTTCAATGCTTCTGTTAGTATTCAACCCTAGAATAATCTGCTATTTTTACAATAGACCAATAACAGATTCGTACCTCACACAAAACAGCAGTTTAACAATAGCCGGAAAGATGTATTTTTATCATACATTTGGAAAATAAACTTATGTTGCATTTTATTGATTGTTTTTATTCTCCATATCCCTGTATCCGACGACATTGAGATGTTTGCCGAGTAAACTTGCGAATATCACGTCGCGTCGTTTGCTTCCGTTCGAGGCGTTTTCAGATATATTTGACACGTTAATTTCACTGAATTATATCTGTTAGTACGTCACGTGATATCAATTGTTCCCGTTTGAGGTGTTTGCCAAGTAAATATACGACCAAGTTATAGTCGCTGGACTATTTTCGTTAATCCTCATGTCGACTAAACTCTAAACGTATTTTAAATAAATCTTCTATATTAATTTCACTGGACTATTCATGTTAATCCGCGCGATGACGTCAACTCTGCTACATTTCCAGACAAATAAGTTAGCCGAGTTTGCTGTTTAGCATCAAAATACCTAACATTTCACTTTTTTATAGATATTTGTCTTTGCGGTCGGCACTTTGGCTATTAATGGTTTAAAAAAAAAAACAGGGATCTATGAACATCAAAGGTATCACGTAAAAAATAATATGTGAACGCCACCTTATGGAGAATGGGACAACGACCTATAGCATAGAATTTGCGTAGAAGCTATAAATGGCCTCCGATAGAGTCATCTCTGATGTAGATATTACATCACATCGGTGCCAAACCATACAGTTCAAGTGTCGTGACTTTTATGCAACAAACTAGTACAAGTAAATATGAAATACGGGTGTGGATCGTATTTGGTGTGGCGATTCGCTTATATATGGCTCGACATTCTGCCGAGAATCCATGCCATTAGCTCATAGGTGACTCTGCATGACCCATGGCGGTGTTGCCAAACTGACAAAGTGTTTAGAAAACTCTACATTTATACTAAGCTGAATGGAATTCAGTTCTTTTCACGGTTTTTGGTGGTTACGTTAAAAAGTCATATGAAAAAAGTAAAGATATCGTCTTAAGACCAGTCTTTCTATATAACTGGCAACCATGACTAGTAAATATGAAACGGTATATCCATATTCTTCGAATGTACGATTTAGATTCTGAAAGAAATTTCGTTTTCAGAACATAATAATGTTTACATCCCTCTAAAGCATATTCTCCTGACCAACGTTCTAAGAATATGCGATTTGTGAACACCGGAAACGTTCATTGCTTATTCATAAAAGGAATATCCATTCGCTGCCATGCTAAGATTATTCATATTTAGGACATGCCAATACAAAATCTTCTTGTCATATGACAGTAACACTCCACTGGGTAATAAAAAGGGATATTTCTAGCACGTTTTAAGGGTATTCATCAGGTGAATTTTTCAGCCTAACGCGCATGTGTCCGAGCATAGTGGCAATACGAGGCTTACCGGCTTCCATTTTGTTTTATTTCATGTCTGTGCATATCTAACAAGCGTTCATCGTGTGTGTGTGTCCAAGTGGTACATTATTTGGCGGTGTTCTTTGAGGAGAAGGTTAGTTTCGTGATAATTGTTGCTAAAGTGATATAAGCATGACCATTGGCTCCAAAGTCAAATGTAATATTGAAGGCCATTGTCCCTGAATTCAAATATTGTCCAGCTTGAGATAGAAAGCCCTTGTTATAACTTTGAAGTTGATGATCAATGAACAAGCTATATAATAAAAAATGAAAAATTAGGGCTCGTATCGTCAGTCATCCCTACAATTGTAGGACGCCTTTATGGCATCCTTGATTGTCATACTCTTTTCTCTCCTTCAAAAATTTCTAGATTACACTCGTCCCGTGTCAGCGTCAGTGCTCTCCTATTGTTAAGATATGTTTTCGTTTTAAATTGTAGGAAATTTCAGGCTGATAAAACATGATATAACTCAAAAGCAAGCATAATTTGATGCAAATAGATGTTTGTGACATAACCTCAAAATAGAGCTCTGACACGGAGAAGTAGAAAACTATGACAATCAAAGAGGCCATAAAGGCGCCCTGCAATTGTAGGGACGACTGACGATACGGGCCTAAAACCAAGTGTGCCCTTACTTGAATAATGGGTGCTGTTGCGTTTTGTAGAACTTCCGATTTCACTGTTTTTTCACTTGAAACTTATAGAGGGTAGTCTGATACATTATTTTAAAACAAGAAAAGTGTGGATGAAGTACTTTTTTCATGAAAAATGTTTCCCAAAACACTGTATTTTTAACAGTTTTTCCACCATTAACTCCACCGCCATCTGCCGTATGACGTTGACGTCTGTGCATATATCATAGTATATGAGAGGTGCTTGCCTGCACTGTTGCCAGATTGGGCTCCGCATTTAGGGGAAAATCTGAAAAGTGGAAAATTTATATACGAATAATAAATAATGAAACACAAAAGCGAAAAACTGAAACAAACAACAGTGGCAAAATAAAAAGCGATGCTTAATAATTATGAAACAAAACATAACAGTAGTAAACTACAAAACAATTGTAAATAATTATAAAAACAGTAAAACAAGAAACAATTCCATGTAATTATAAAAAACAAAAAACAACACAGTAAAATAAAAAGCAATTCTAAGTGATAACAAAAACAGAAAGCAAAAACAGTAATTTAAAAAACAAATCCAAAAACTAAAATGAACAGAAAGTATTCAATATTAAAAGGTATACTTTGCGGCAATTTGTCGCAATATATTTTTGAATCGGTCTCCGGGTCTAGGACCATAGAGCCCCACCAAATTAACTGGTCAATATGTTCGGGTAAATGAGGCGATTGTGCACACTCCTGTCACTGGATCCACAAAATATAGTGTGCGGTTCAATGTTTCAAATTTTAGTATTTCGCTCTCAAGCGTAGTCGCACTCCTATTTGGAACATAAATAATGTGCCCACGTTTCGTGGAGACATCGAAGAGACCCACAGTTCCCTGTGTTCTTTTTTGTTTTCTATAATTACATGGAATTGTTTCTTGTTTTACTGCTTTTATAATTATTTACAATTGTTTTTTAGTTTACTACTGTTATATTTTGTTATGTAATTATTAAGAATCACTTTTTATTTTGCCACTGTTGTTTGTTTCAGTTTTTCGCTTTTGTGTTTCATTATTTAAATATACGTATATAAATTTTCCACTTTTCATACTTTCCCCTTAATGCGGAGCCCAATCTGGCAACAGTGCAGGCAAGCGCCTCTCATATACTATGACATATGCACAGACGTCAACGTCATACGGCGGTTGGCGGTGGAGTTAATGGTGGAAGTTTCAAGTGAAAAAGCAGTGAAGTCGGAAGTTCTACAAAACGCAACAGCACCGAATAATGTACTAATTACCTGAATAATGTACTAATTATCTGAATAATGTACTAAATGCTTAAACAAAAAAAAAGTCAAATTGGCCCATTACTACTCTGTTCTTTAACTTCCAACTAAGTTTGAACTACGGCCCTGGCCATGTACTGCTTGTGCCATCTATCGGGGACAATGTGCATTTATAAGTAAATCGATAGACTGTATAACCGGTTTCTATAACAGTTCGCATTAAGGGATAATGTATCTACGTGTCCCCCCAGGAGATGGCAGGACCAGTTACTAAGGATTTCCCCTCACCCTTTAAGACAGGACAGGATTGTCGAAAAATTTGGAGAAAGTGAACCAATAGAAGATGGGAAAAAGACAGATTTGATAGGAAGGTTACCTATTTTTCACAACTTAGTGCTTCAAAAATATTACACTTCTAACTCTAGGTCCTAGTCTTAGCTCAGTTCGAACACTACTCCACAGCTGGCGCTGTTGTTTAAGTAGTTTGTCTTTGTTAGTTGTTTATTGGGGTGAACAACTATTGAAACCAAAAACTAAGTTTAGGCACCTTCTTTAACACGCTTTATCCAGAATCCAGATTAGCTTCGGTGAACATTTTTTTAAGAATACCCCTTTACAAGCGAAACATTTGAATAGGTAGATTAACTAACCTTGATTAGCTTGGACATTACAAGAGCTTGCTGTCTCCCTCTTTGAGACAAACTGCCCCGTTTAGCTCAGGAAAAATAGATTCAAACACATTTTCCTATTGCGAGATTTTGGGACATTTTCAAGTTACGTTAGTTAGAAAATATTATTAATGATACAATGTTACATCCTAGCTATGTGTACAGATTTTTGTTCTTTTGTGGTCCATGAGCGGTCAAAACAAAAATTCTCAGCTACTATGAGAGAACCTAAGAAATTAGAGTGACCTCTATAAGAAACCAAAAAATGACGGTTTCTGAGCAATGACATATTTTCTATAGTACAGATTGGTACACAGTGGGCGCATATATCGAAGGCATAAGAAACCATAGGTACGATTACGTTGTCGTAAGTAACTTTCAGTGATTGTTGAGAAGCTGGAAACTTGCCCCAATCGAAGCATACAAAACGCCTTAATCAATGAAACATTTTTCTTGCCTTTTCACAAACACAAGCTACATGAAATTCATAACTCGGTTTACTGCCAGGGCATGGTCCCAGGTACTTGTACCAATTCACTCTAGTCAGCGAATTACTATTTAGTTTCGCTATTGGATTTCTGTTGTTGCTGCACTGACTATACAGGGAAAATCAAATTTGCCTTGATGGCTTGTGTTCAATATGTACAAGAGAGAAACGCGAGAAGTGAGTATCAACACATGTTAGGTCCTCACCACATTGTCTAGCAACGGCGACGCAGAAGAGAGTGCAATATGCTGCGTTGCCAATGTTACACCAGAAAATGTTCGCATAAGCTCCTACAATAGGTTAGGTTACTGTCAAATCCAAGAAGGAGATCTGTTCGAACAATTAATCTAATATTTTGTTTTCATTTTGATTAAAATTATTTATTTCAATTTTGATGCGACTTAGTGTTTAAATTTATTTTAAGAATTGATTGATTTCCATCGATGGTGATAAAATCAACGAGTTATTGTTACAAATACCATTACGCAATACAAATTATCACTGTCTGCAGGTGAAGACTATCTGTGATCATGGGGGTGGAAACCTTGCCTTGGAGTGTACGAGATGCGGTGTTGCCAAGCAAACCAATGATGCAATATTGCAGAATTTGTG